TGGTTATTGGACAAGTAAAATTATATATATATATATATATATAAACTAACTATAAAAAAATTAAACATCATGTTGTATTGCATGTTGTAAAACATTACTACAGTAACAAGAATTTAATGAGAATCACCAATGAGAATAATGAAAATAATAAAGCATAATAAAACGTGCTTACAGGAAAATGTCATGACAATAAAGTCATGAAAATCATCTTAATGGTCTATAAAAAGTTTGATTTTATTATGCAAAACATATATATTTTATTTTGAGGTGGCATGTCACACAAGCATGCTTTGTTGTCTCCTTATCTTTTCCTTTTTCTTCATTACAATAAACTCATCAGACGGGGAAACTTGCAGCTATCTGACAGCAAGCAGGTAAAACAATGCAAAGATTTAGAATAAAACACATATTTTCTTTCAGCAACCAATGCTCTTTTTATTAAAATTTAAATATGTAAGTGAAGTATATCATTTCTGAGCCACTAGCAAATTCAAATAAATTGCAAAGCAAAATGACTGTTTTCAAACAGGTTTTCAGGTTTGATTCTTCTACTTCTTAGTGTATCCAAAACAATCCAGGCTCATTGGAAATACTCTGACTTAATTTCTGTAAAAATGATGTCATTATGGAAAATGTCATGACAATAAAGTCATGAAAATCATCTTAATGGTCTATAAAAAGTTTGATTTTATTATGCAAAACATATATATTTTATTTTGAGGTGGCATGTCACACAAGCATGCTTTGTTGTCTCCTTATCTTTTCCTTTTTCTTCATTAGAGGAATATAAACAGTGACATATATGATTAAAAGGCCTAAAAATTGATTTTGCTGTTATTTGTGTACACACACACACACACACACACAGAGACAAACGTTCCCAAGGCTGCATTCTGTACATAAATACCAACAACAAGGATTTGTCACGCTGTAATGCTAACACTGAATGGGGTATTATGACTGGCCTCTGTCAGATTATTTATGAGTGGGGCTGTAATTGAACACTGCAAATCCTACAGCTTTGAGTTATGGATGAACAGGAGAGGGCGTTCGCAAGTGTTCTCCATATGCTCCTCTCTCTCTCTCTCGCTCTTCACAAACTTTACAGATTCATACCAGCTTATTTACATACACAGGGAATTCCAGAGTTACGGATGTGAAATCTGTAGCCAAAATGGGAAATTTAACATCTCAGAGAAAAGATTAATTGCCATTATACAATACTGAAGATAAATTAATTAGGTAACGCATGTTTTGGTGTGAATGGTCATCATCTCTTTGGCAAGTGCTGGGCCGAATAACCTGAGGCTTTGGAGGCCCCCTGACAGACTATGCTGCTTTATGGAAGGGCACTGGCCTGGTCCATAATCCAGTCCTGATTGATTCATATGTATTTTCCTAAATCCCAGTAGAAAGTCTTCATAGTTTTGTTCTGTTAGAAGAACTTGTGCAATGAATGTGAAAAATGTGAAAAAAAAATCACTTTTTGGAAGTTAACACACTTCGTAGATTTCTATTTTAAATTAATGCTGTTTTTTTTTACTTTCTCATCGAGAAATCCTGAAGAAAAATCTATAACAGGTTCCACAAAAAATATTATGCAGCACAACTGTTTTCATAAAATATATAAAAATAGAAAACAGGTTTTTAAAATCGTATATATACATCTTTGTTTTTTTTTATAAATCCTGCCTTGGTGAGCATACAAGTCTTTTTCAGAAACATTTTTTAAAAATCTTACCAACCCCCAAATATTTGAACGGTGGTGTGCATGGCTATAGGAAACAATTAAAATGCTTTAAAACTACCAAACTTACTGAGACATCATATGATATCCATTAAGCATGCACAATTGATCAAATTAACTGAAATTGCTTTATTGCCTTGAGGTTGCAATTTAAAACATAGTTTGCATTCAACAATTCTGTCAAAGTGAAGGAGTGACGCTCATTCCATTTTGCTGTAATGAACTACACAAACTCTAAAGCACTTCTGAGACTCACGCTAATCAGGAGCAGTATGAGATGTTAAATGTTTATCATATCACAGTTCAAACTGCATTCACAGTGTGCCAGACATTTGCATGAAATTGCCTCTGTTGAATACATTTATATGTATAGTCTTTAGTCTATATATTTAAGTGAAATGGATATATTCCTGAATATCACTATGCTCAATGAGACTTAAAGGTCTGTTTTCATGGCTGTGACCCATCATGTTTCGTTCATCCAAAAATGAAATTGTTGTCATCATATACTCATTACATTGTTTTATCCATGAAACACAATGGGGAAAATCTTAAAGAATGCCTAGTGAATGAGAACTGGATGGTTCAAAAACAAAAAAGAAACCTAGAATTATCATGAAACTAGTCCTTGTGTACAAACAGACCACATGTTGTTGTTCACTGGTCTTCTGTCCAATGAGCTGTTGGATCACTGAACACCGAATCAAACTTAAAGTGAGATGAACTCAAGAACTAGATTAGTATGATTCGTATGAATCATTCAGATGGGTTCTGTGAACTGAATCAACTGATTTACTGAAAATATCAATTCAAAAGAACAACTCATTCATGTGACTTTACGAAAATCTAAATAATCAAATATTTTAAATATCAAATTAATATTGCTTATAAAGCACCTTCCATCCACAAATCAGAATCAAACTAAACTATTAATAATAGTTTAATATAAATATTAGTTTAATATTAGTTTTGCAAACTGCAAAAAAAAATCTTATTCAATAAAACAATTCATTCAAAAATCACTACATCTCTTATGAACACACAACATGCATTTTGGAGCTTTACAGCCCCTGTCCTTATTCACAATTATATTGAAAAAGTGCAGAAAATATCATTCATAAATTAACTTTTTTGTGTTGCACAGAACTGGTTTGAAGCAAATAATGACAGATTTTTTTATTGCTAGCTGAACTAAACCTTTAAGCTTTCAGCTCTAACCCGCTCTGAAGTCTGTTACCATCATAAAGCACACATGCAACCATTCGTTTACCCTCTCTGACCGAATAAACAGCTTGTTCTTAAGAGCATCATGTCACATTCACATCTGTGCTCAATTAAAATCTCAATCACTCGTAATGGTGAGAGGCGTTCAGCTCCAAAAACAGAATCCGGAGATCAGTGAGGTCAAAAATATCAAGACGGAAGCAGTCTAAGACTATAGTGTATTACTGCTATATGACTCTGCAGTATATACTGTGCACATTTATCAGTCTATCCCTACTGTGCAGAAAGCATTACACAACTATCCCATTCTGAATACAGACAATATGCATTTGGATCGATGGGAGGGTCCTGTCCAAAATCCACTCTCCTCTCCTTCTGCACCCCTCATCTCTTTTATTCTGTCCCTCTGACCTCTCTCCGTTCTGCCTGACTGACCCTCCTGATTTAATGACCTCGCACAGACGGGACACTCAGATGGAACGGGTGAGAAAGAGAGCGAGAGAGCGAATGGGAGCCAAAAGCTAAAACAAGCGGAGTGGGATTCATTGCTGCTTACAGATCAGAATTCTCCCATTTCATCCCTCAGATTCATCTTTTATTTTCATCATCTGTTCGTCCTCTCTCCTGTAGCTTTAGTGCCACTGTATCTGCAATTCATTCCTCTCTCCTTCTCCGATACAGCCATTCATTTCAGCCTGTCACTCAAAATACCTGTCCCATCCTCAGCCTTCATTTCAAATGATCATTCCTCTCTCCCTCTCTCTTCCTCTGTGCTCGTTTTCAGAGTGGATTTGAAAGGAGTGACAGACATGCCGAGTGAGAAAGCGTGGCAGAGGAGCCAGCAGATTCTATATCAAACAGAAACACTTGTGCGTGCACACAAACACACCTCCGCCGAGCATTCATCATTTTTTGTTATTTCAACAAAGCTAATGTAACCAAAGTCCTGATGATGTCACTCTGATGTATAAACTGACATTCAGTCCTCACAAACTCATCAAGTATTCAGAGCAGCCCTTCATAACACTTCTTCAACCCAAATCATTTTCACATGGTTTTATAACCATAAAATATAAAAAATGACAATGGCTGTGTTCCAAAACTTAGTGAGCTGTCTTGCTGGCTGCCTACATCTGCCTTGTACGCATCTGAACTGGAATTGAACATGAACTCATGAGAGACTGATCTGATGCAACCAGTCATACAAATAGCACTTCTCACATGCTCAAAATTGAGTAACATTTGATTTCAGAATTGAGTTTGGAGTTAGCAAATCGCAAAGCTAATGACACAATATTTTCATAACCATAAAAATATTACACACACAAAAAAGTCAATTTTGTAGCCTATTTCTTAATAGATATAACAAAAGTTAGATTAAGATTAGATTTTTTTTGCATGTATACAGTTTATGTGTAAATTCCTATATCATTTTGTGATGTTTTATAATTGTATTTATAATATAATAAATATAAAATGTATATTTGTATAATTAATAATAATAATATGCCATCCTATTCAGTAAGCTTCACTGGCACATTGTGGGATTGCCTTCTCAGCACAGGATGCATGCAATGCTGCCCTAAAAAGCCCATAAAAAAGAATCTTATCAAACTTTGGGAAGAGCCCTCACATCTTGAGCTATGCTGAAAAAAATCAGCTCACAAGTTTTGGAACAGAGCTCAAGCCTTCTGTATTAAAGTTGTTCCAATGTTCCCAAACTGATCAACAGTTGAGAGACAAGTCTTAAAACTGGAGAACTGGAGAACTGGAGAACTTTCTTTGTAATCAATAAGTTCAGTGAGTTCACCAGAACTTGGGGCCAAATGGACCAAAAGGTGAGCAAGTTCAAATGTACAGAGGCAGAGCTTTCAATCAATCTTAGTTTTAGCTCAAAGCAACTTATAACTCTGTATGTCAATTAAGGTAAAAGATGACAACTATACCCACTTCAGAGCATGAAGGACAAACAAATATGCAAACTGGAGTGGATCCCTCTAGAGCACTTATGCATGCACAGGTGATCAGATCTGCTTTCCAGCTGGAAGTGCACTAGCATGCTGATAACATGCATCACCAATTACCTCCTGCCATCACATAACATTATAAACTCTTAATGTCACTAATGGCATGCCAGCCATTCCTCTTTCATCAGTGTCACCATCAGTCATAATAACGCATTAAATGTGGTTATCAGCTGACACGCTGTTTTATTTGGTTCTTCAATAAGTTTCCAGGAGTGAAACCCCTCACGCGCTTCATGGCAACCCGCTAGTTCACGCTCATGAGCTCTCATGACACATGAATAAATAAAGACACGCGCAGCAGGCGCGCACAGCGCTACCCGATACGCGCGACACTCACGCAAAACTAAAAACATTCAAAGGTTAAAAAATACACTAACCATCAAAAGCTAATAAAACATTGAAACATTTCAGACACAAGACACACAAACTGAACTGCCAACTAAAAGCGTGTAGCCTATTTAGATTAGTTGCATCACTGTGTAATTTTCTGCCATGTCTAGGTGATACTGAAGTAACGTTATCAATAAAAGTAGAGGTTGTATAGACTTGCCAGCAGTTTTTCGGAGTAAGTCAGAGATCTTACCTGCTGCCTCCTCCTGATCAGTCCGGCCCGAGCGTTCTTGACAACCGACCGACACCCACCAACCGAGCGACCGCTGATCTGCTGCTGAGAGTGCTGGTGCTCCGCGCTCAGCCTCTCTCTCTCTCTCTCTCTCGCATCATCATGTTGCGGTTTCAAGTTTAAAACAAGCTGAATGCTGCATGATTGAGCAGCATTGTCGGGTGTCATTTATTATCTACAAATGCATCTCACTGCATTTAAACAGTATGCATGTGAAACGACCATTCGTCTCTTAGCATATACTAGAATTTTTTTCTTTTTAAATTAAATTGCAATAATATAATCCGATGGTGCTTTGTAATAAAAACGAAAACCAATTATTTAAACTAGTGCTGTCAAACGATTAATCGCTATTAATCGCATCCAAAATAAAGGTTTTTGTTTACATAATAGGCTATGTGTACTGTGTTTATTTATTATGTAAATGTAAATACACACACATTCATTATATATTTTGAAAATATTTACGTGTATATTCATTTATATATTTATATTATTATATATTATATAGATATAGATATGTGTTTAATATATAAACATAACATATTTTTCTTAAATATATACATGCATTTGTTCAAAGGCTACAGATTGATATCTGAGAAGCGTGATTAATGAAATGAAGAGTTACCAGTATCCTTTACTGAACTGAACAGACTGCTTCAGACACATCTCTGGTAAACGGCTAATAACCACAGGCCTCAGAATTTGAGTGTGTTTGCTTGACACTCTACTTCCCTCTGCTGGACAAGCTTCGAAATTAGTGGAAAAAAGACAACATGAAACACAGAGAAAGACTTGAATCAAGTATGTGATGTAACTTTATAGACCAAAGACTTGTATTCCAAAGGCAGAAACAACAGACAGCATTAAAAATTTTATTTTACATGAGTTCAATATTGTAAATGCCTGCTGCTTACAGAAGCTCGCTGAAAAGAATTATAGCTATTTTCCTCTGGCAGACCTAAGACTTATTCTCAAATTAAATATACATTACATTAGATTATTTTAATGCCAATTATATATACATATATATATACTAGTGCTGTCAAACGATTAATTGCATCCAAAATCAGCAGCAGTCCATCATGAAAATAGATCTCTCTGCAGCTCTGTGATGAACTGGAAGAACTATGAATATGCAGGATATAGCCTATGCAAAATATGTAATAGAAGGCACGATAATGCGAAAACGACTGGTTGACTGTACATTTTCTGGCTTACGCGGCGACTCACCAAATAAATAAATAAGTACGAGAACATGAAATATTAATTCGAGTTTAAATTGTTTTAGAATTTAACCAGTATCCTAAAGCTAACGTTCACAAAAGAAATAGCTACAATGTAGTTTAGTCCATTGCACTATACAGCAAAATCGACACACCAATAAGACACTGCACCAGCAATATACAACCCCTGGCAAAAATGATGGAATCACCACACTTAGATGTTGTTTACCCACATTTTTTATTTCATAACAAATAAACGAATCACAGATATCACACAAAACTATTTTTGTTTAATAATTCAACATTCTGGTTATGTGAAACATACCTAAAAAAAAAAAGATATTAAACTCTTTT